CTGGTTGGCCTACCCATATTGGTGGCCTCCCAGATGAGCACAACACAATGGTGGTATGAAAAACCAGAAATTGTGGCTCAAAAGTAAGAAAAACCAGCTTTCTGTCAGAAAAACCAGCTAGAGGAGAGAGAAAAAGAGAAAGCTGGTTTCCAAGGGGAAAAGGTGGCCTCCCACCATACTATCACCTCCCTAGCAATGAAAATAGGGTCCCTACCAAAAATGGACCAAGACGGATGCAAAACGAAGGTTCAGGGGCCAAAACGCGCAATCTGGGGCCCCGAAAACAGGCTATTAGGCACCGGAAGTGGCGTATGACCACGAAGGTGGTCTCCCGGGCCACAGTGTCCCTCTAAAGAGAGGAAACAAGGTGTGTGCCAAAAACCAGAGCAAACTGAGGTAGTTAAGCGGTCCCGAACCGAGACACACGGCCAACGGCTCCGAAAACTGAAAACTGGGCTCCAAACGGGAAAAATGGCCTACAACCACGAAACGTAGCCTACGGCCACTGAGAAATGGTCTACGAGACCTCTCCCTCCCTTTGAGAAGAGAAAACAGAGAAAACAGGACCTGGTTCGCAAATCGAGACAAAGCACAAAAGAGCTCCAAAGTCCGGAGGCAAGGCTCTCAGCCGAGACTCCGAAACCCCAGAACGAGCACAACATTCGTATCACCGAGCGCTCAATCGATGATGTCTGAGTCTTAAGGCCGGTCAAAAATGGAGTGTCTATAGTAACCAACCACAATCAACAAACCCAAACCAAAAATACAACCGAAATCTAAAACATGCCAAAGCCAACAGATAAAAATACTAAAAACCAGGCAAAAAACAAAACAAAGACAGCAATAAAGCCCTCTGATGGAGCATCTAGACAGCAGACCACACACACTGGCAGGAAGCAGATCATCAGTCAGGCAAGTAGATCAGCAGCCGGATATCCCTGTAGACACCCCATTTTTTACCGACCTTAAGACTCAGGCGTCACCGATTGAGCGCTTGGTGATGTTGCATATCGTGCTCGTTCAGAGGTTTCAGAGTCTCGGCTGCGAGTCTCGCCTCCGGACTTCCAGACTCTTTCATGTTTTGTCTCGGTTTGCGAACCAGGCTCTGTTTTCTCTGTTTTCTCTTCCCGAAGGGAGGGGGAGGTCTCGTAGATCATCTCTCAGTGGCCGTAGGCTACGTTTCGTGGTCGTAGGCCATTTTACCCGTTTGGAGTCCGGTTTTTGGTTTTACGGAGCCGTTGGCCGTGTGCCTCGGTTCGGGACGGCTTAACTACCTTCGTTTGCTCTGGTTTTTGGCATGCATCTTATTTACTCCCTTTTGAAGGACATTGCGGTCCAAAAAACCAACTTCGTGGTCGAACACCACTTCCGGTGCCTAACAGTCAGTTTTCGGGGCCTCGGGCTGCGCGTTTCGGCCCCCGAACCTTCATTTTGCATTGGTTTGGGCTCATTTTTGGTGGAAACCTTATTTTCACTGCTAAGGAGGTCGTAGAAGGGTGGGGGCCAGTAATTGTTCTGACAACCAGTTTTATTCCTCCATCGCCCTCCGTCGCCCGTTTTTCTCACTTGAAAGCCAATGTTTACCACCCTAAGGCCACTTTTTCCAGCCCTAAACCACATATTTGTGTTGTACACACCTGGGAGGCCACCAATATCACATGGCCGGCCAGTAATTGTGTTTGACCCTTTTGAACCCCTCCAAAAAGTGGGCTTTTCTCTCTCCTAGTTTACTTTCTCCAGTTTTTGACCACATGGTTGTGTTGTGCACACATGGGAGGCCACCAATCTGGGGTGGCCGGCCACTAATACGGCTTGAACCTTTTGACCCTTGGCCAGCCGGCCATGGGGAGGGCCGGCCGACCACCTGCAACTTAAATACCAGGCCAGCCTTGCTCCCCTCCACTGGTACATTACAAATCTGTATTTTGTTTCCCCCCAGATTGAGTATCCGGGGGGCTGCACTTTTGGGGGAAAATTTGAAATCCATTTCCCCCCTTTTTTCCCACACTCTTGCCTATATATCCAGGCCCTCCAGCTCCCTTTTGAGGGGTTACAAAAATTGGTTTTAAGCCTCTTGCATTCAACCCCTCTTCCCTTCTATTCCAAACATCAAAACCCTTTTGTTCTTGGACCATTCCTACACCCTTTACTCTACAACCCATAGCACCCTTCCTCCTCACTCCATTCCAGCAGCTTGAAGGCCATTTTCAAAGCTTAAGAGTCCCCAAACTTGGTCCAAAGGCTGTCAAAGATTGGTTCTTCAAGGGTAAGTCTTCTTTTCCTCTTTTCTTGCTTTATTTTGATCTATATTCTAGCTCCTTGTGTTCGCATATTTGGGCTGAGACCCTAACTGAAAATAGTCTTATTTTAAGCTCTATTTCATGTTTGATTAAGGGTTTCTTCCTGTTTGAGGCTTCTTTTTTACACTTTGTGTTAAAAGCCTCTTATAGGCCTCTTTCTTGCATAGTATTTTAGACCTATTTGTAAACTGTTTCGAGCTTTGCTATAAACTGTGAGTTGCCGTATTTTGAGCCCCTCTTCAATTTTGTTGAAGGGCTCTTCACTGTTTGAGACTTTCTTCTATCACTTGCCTCTTTATCCCTCTTTTGGCTCCTTTGTTTGCATGTTTTTTTAGCTCCTTGTGCTTGTATTTTTGGGCTCCGATCCGAACTGTAAATAGTCATACTTTGACCCCCTCTTCATGTTTGATCAAGGGTCCTTTTCTATTTTAGGCTCCCTTTTTTCTCTTTGTGTTTAAACCTTCTTTTAGGCCTATTTTTGCATAGTGTTTTAAGCTTACTTGTGCACTGTTTTGGACTTGGTCATAAACTGTAAAGTGCACTATTTTGAGCCCCTCTTCAACTTTGTTGAAGGGCTCTTCATTGTTTGGGTCCGGAAGCTGCCACTTGCTTCTTTGTCCCTCTTTTGGGGCCTTTTTTGCATGATAGATTAGCCCTACTTGTGTTTGTTTTTGGGACTTGTTATAAACTGGAAATATGCATGTTTTGGGACTTCATTGAATCTGTCTACATGCTTCATGATCAAATAATGCATGCTTTGTATAGTTATAAGTCATTCCACGTGCCTAGTTTCGGGTTTCGGGGTTCATTTCATGCATCGGGTACCATGTTTCCATGTTTCGGGACCATTTTGCATCATATTTCAGTACTGAAATTTGCATGCTTGTATGCCATATTCCATGCCCTGCCATGTTTTGTTAGAGTGGCATTTGTGCCTTAGGTTTAGTCCTCGGTTTGCATGCATGTGTGCACGCATCTCGAGTGTCTCATTTTCATCCAATGGCCTCCTATGTGAGTGCAGCTGAGGTCCACTCACGTTGGTGTAAGCCCATATTGCATTGTGTATGCTATGCCATGTTATCTCGTGCATCGTGTAGGCCATTTCCTAGCATTATGCATGATAGGTTGTAT